CTTAATAAATTAGACCCTGTAGCTCCTCACGAAGGGGCAAGCTGTTCAACTGCAAACCAGGGGCTCATATTTGAAACTCCCTTTGGTGTTCCCTCTGCACAGCCTAAAATGTGCAGCACATGTTTCTTACTGACAGTCCTCGGGGCCTCTTGGGTTCCACGATTCCTGCTGTTCAGACATAACTTCGAGGCACCTGCCAGAAGAGCTCAGCTTGAGTTTTGTGAACCCCATCTGCCCTTTAAGTCAGACTATGTCAGACACATTTCTCAACTGCACTGAAATTCTGTTCTGAGACGTAGCTGCTCAGAAAGCCACTGGCTGTCACTTTGAGGGCTCCCTGGGACTTCTGAGAGGGAATCCTGAATATGTCACATGACTACATTTTATTTAAGTCAGACCTTCCAAAACACTCTCTCCTTATTAATGGAAAACCGTTGAACTACTTTCACATGATGTGTTAATAAATGTTATTGTATTCACAGAGATTACTCCAAGAGGATTAAAGGTCATGCTAACTCTTTTGGGTCCTAGTAAATTGCAAGTGTCCTCCAACACAGGAAAATTTCTGTGGAGTTGAAATGCTTCTCCAATAGGCGAGCAAACATTCATAAACAAAAGACTTAACTTTTAAGGAGCTTTCCAGGGAGAAACACCTAATGAAAGAAGGAAGAATTGAAACACGGGTGCTTGGTGTATGCACAGAAATATATATACACAGAGAAGTTAGGATGTATAACGTTGATTCTGCATACTTATGAGGAGTAAGGGATGACCTGCTTCGCTCTCTAGTCTGGAAAGTTCTCTGGATAGGAATGATACCCTCAGCAGGGACCTGGGGCCTCCGGAAATGAGGAGGGCCATGGTCCTTCCTGATGCTAGCTAGAACTCTTCTGAGCTTTTTTCCTTAAAACCCCGGGCAACAGGCCCAGGATAATGAGGTTCGAGGCAAGATCACCAGCAACAGGGAGTCAGCTTTCTGCAGGAATGAGGCAGTGAGTTTTAAAAACCTCATCTTTTGGGAGAGGGGGGTGGGGTTATGGACATTGGGGAGGGTATGTGCTATGGTGAATGCTGTGAAGTGTGTAAACCTGGCAATTCACAGACCCGTACCCCTGGGGATAAAAATACATTATATGTTTATAAAAAAAAATAAAAAAATAAAAACCTCATCTTTTGAATTTGCGTCTTACACTTTTTGTGCATCTCTAATTCTCCTTGTTCTCTGAAGAAGGGATAACTATTCCTAATTTTACATACTGCTGAATTCTCTTCTTTGCTTTGTTTTTCTCCACAGCACTTTTACTTCCTAATATGCTCTATAATTATTTTGTTTATTGTCTGTCTTCACTAGAATGTAAGCTTTGGCAGTGGGAGGGGGGGTGGGTATTCTTGTGCGTTTTATTCCCTCATGATTTCCTGGAACCTAGAATAAATAAGTGAAGGAAGGAAGGGAGGGAGGGAGGAAGGAAGGAAGGAAGGAATGGAGGCCCAGAAAAGCTAAGTGATTTTCCCTTATCCAACTACTAGCAAGTGGCAGAGCCAAGGTTGGAACCCAGGCCCTCGTGCTGTGCTGATGCACTAGATTATAATGGCAGTGGTTAGGATTAAAACCTAAGATGAACTCTCAGGAAGAGAAATAATGAAGCATTTAGTGAATGGTTGACTAAGAGAGGTGCGCGCAGAGAAAATCACCAGATTTAAAGGAGCGGGGAAGTAAGTCTAACTGTGGTCTTTGACATTTATGGGGACAGTGCAACAGAATATGTGAAGCTGGAAAAGCCCTGGTGGTTAAAATTCAAAACACAGAACTCAATCCTTCAAGTTTTGGCGGGGAACCGTGCAGTGCATGGTCTCCCTGATACCTTATAAGATGTGTATGTGGTAATCCCTAATGGTCTGAACAGGGTCTGGCCTCAAATCCTGCCCCCACTGTTTGTTACTGAGTGACCTCATGCAAATTCCTTAATCTCTGTGAATGTGGATAATTTACATGGGTTTTCTGAAGACCAAAATTATGCATGTAAATACAGAAATCGAGAGAAAGCCTTCCATGTAGTAAATGCTCAATTTATGTATTATTTCTACTCCAATAATTTGGTGTGGCTGGAGAAGAGGGTGTTGAAAGGGGTCCCGTTAGGGAGAAGTCAGAAGGGTAGCTGGGTACAATGCCCTAACTATGTTAAAGGACTTTGACCTTGGTCTGTAACAGCACCTACTGTGACAGCTGAATTGGGACGGCTTAAACTGCCTAGGGCAGTTCCTCCGAGGGCTTCTGGGCAGTCTGGGGAGTTCTAGGTGGGCTGTTAGGCCTCTTAGGGCATCTAGATAAGGACCCAGAACAGTGTGCAGTCCGGCAATTCAGAACAATAAAAACATCATTCTAGAGCACTTCACCCATTCCACCATCACAGAGCTCCTACGAAGAGATTATTTTCATTATCTTCATTATGGCACGTGGAAGACGCAGTTCACAACGGATTTAACCAAGGACACACGCTTAGGACGGGACAGGGGCACAATTTCAACGGCCACCCCGTTCCAGGGCCCCTTAGACTTCACTTCTTAGAACGGAGTGGTCTGAATGCCATTTGATAAAATGTGCTGAGAAGGACGGACATTCCGTCTCTGCAGGGTTCAGAAGCATGGGTCAAACTAAGTGTCTCTATCTTCAGGTTTGAGAACAACTGCGAAAATCCCTCCAAATCTGTGCACAGGCTCAGGTAAGTGCACTTTCAAAATAGCGAAGTAACAACGGATTTCCCTCCCTGTCTCTTCTGTTAGAGATCACGGGCTGAAGGATCTTGGTCTTCGCAGCTCCCCTGCAGGGTGCCCTGGCTCGGGGTGGGAACGCCTGTAACAGGTGGGGGCGGATCGGAGGCGTCAACTCCAGCGCAAGCCTCCTCCAGTTGGAACTAGATGATATCCAGTGAAATATGGGGATTTTGTTCCAAGGGATGCCCAAAAAAGGCTCGGGGAGAGCGCGCGGCAACCCCCACCTTAGTCAAACACGCTCCTCCAGGGGCGGCCTGCTTAGCCGAGCTCCAAAATTGGCAACCTGGGCCTCGCTGCCGCCTTTTTTTAGCCTACATTCCCCAAACCAGGGAAGAGGCGGGTGACTAAAAATGCAAATTGGAGCCAGGGCGTCAGTAGGCAGACCCGAGGGTGCGGGGCGTCTGGCTGGGGGAGACCCCGCGACCTCAGGTGCCCTCTGCTCTACTCTCGGTGGGCGCCGGGGGAAGACGCCCCCCGCCGAGCCGCTGCCCCCGCTTCCGCCTCCCCGGCTGCGGCGGGACAATGCGCGGCCTCTTTTCCGCCGGGGGTTAGGGAGGGGACGCCGGATTAGGGCCCGCGCTTTCCGGCCGCAGCCCCCGCCCCTGGCCCCAGCACCGCGCCGGCCGCACACAGGTGGTTTTCCGCTCAGGAGGGGCAGGCCACAGCACTTTTATATAACAATAGAGCTCTGCGCGCCGGGAATGCGCCTTCTCGCCGCCGCGGCCCCCGCCCGGCCACGCCTCCATCCGGTTCCTGGCCAGCCCGCCCCGCGGCGCCTCAGCTGAACCCGGCGCGCGGGCCTGGCCGGCACTTTCCCAGTTACCTGCTGGCCCTGCAAGGCGTCGGAGACGTTCCCTGCGCCCCCCAGCCCTCCCTTCGAGCCACGGGGTCTCGGCAGGCACTTCTCCTCGCTCTTCACCCACCCCAGGACGAGACGGAACCCAGAGCCGCGCGCTTGGCTCCGCACTCCTCCGCAGGGTCGCCCCACGCCCCGCACCAGCCGAGTTAGGAGGCGGGGGCGGCGGGGCGCTAGGCAAGGAGCGCACCGCGCAGGCGCGGCTGGTGCTCCGCAAGTGCCCGCCGACCGGCAGGGGAGGGGGTTGCGGGGGTGGGACAGAAGGCTCCCCTCTTCTCGGGTCTCTCTCTGCAACGCGACCAATCGCCGAGCCTGCCCGAGGCCCCGCAAGCCTCGCGTGCGGTCTTCCCCACGCCTAGCGTCTGGTGGGGACAGCCCGCCAGGCTCCCGCGCGCCCTAAATGCACCTAGCCCAGGCAGCCCAGCCAGACCGGCTCCTCTGTCGGAAGCCGAGCTTGCTGCCCAGAAATGATTAACGAGCTCAACCCCCCAGCGCGCAGTGGGTGACCGCGGAAAGGCGGGGGGGGAGGGGGAGGACTTGGATCCCCGGAACAATGGCTCATAACGCCCCAGGCTGCTGGAGAGGAATAAAAGCATCGGACTGTCCAACCAGTTTGTTTCTGCAGGCTCCACTGTTTAAAAACAAAATAATTTAAATGCTATTTAAAAAACCCCTTTCTTCCAATTATCTGGACAACCAGGCATTTGTTTGTTTGCTTGCTGTAAAATGTTTCAACAAAATCCTAGTCTGTTTCGAAAGATGTTGGATTAGCATTTAACACCTCATCGGTCACTAAAGCGCAGGCAGTTCACCAGCCCCAACACAGCCTCAGCTAAAAGAACATCAGAGCAAACAGAGCTGGGCTTTTTAAACTGGCAAACAAATGCCACACACCGCCTAAGGAGGGCGGAGAAGGGGGGGTTAAGCCGAACTCCAGTCCAAATGAGTTTAAAGGGAATAAAAAGGGGGAAAAAGCACAAGTTCTCTTAAAGCTAGCTTGCGAGCGCAGGCGTCACGAACAAGGGCTTTTGTGCCTGCTAATTGCACCATTTGTGCGCAAAAGTTCCGACGCGAAGTGTGAACTCTCAACAGAAGGAAACATGAGACAACTGAAGTGCCCTGGTTTATGTGCCCTGCTCCTCCTCCGCCGCCGCCGCCTCCTCTTCTTTCTCCTTCCTCCCGCCGAGCCCGCTGTTGCAGCTTGTTTGCACTGGGGCTTATCCGGAGCGGAAATTCCTTTCCGTTTTTGTGAATGACAAACTCATTAACAATTCATCAACACAACCTGTTCCAGCCGGCCCGTCCCCACGGCAACAGCCCCTTCCGCAGCGCGCTCATTGGCTGGCCGAGAGAATGTATCCATTGAGACGCTCGCTGTTTGTATCCATTGAGGAGCTGCCTCGCGCAGGGGGTGTGCGAGGGCTGAGTCCAAGGGACAGTGAGCAAATCGAGGTTTGAATAATTCGAGGAGAAAGACGCCGGGCGGATTTGAGGTGCAGCCTTAAAGGGAGGGATTAGGAGCCGCTGGACTTTTTTTTTTTTTTTTTTTTTTCTTTCTTTCCTTCCCTCCTCTGGTAGTAGCAGGGAGTCCGAATTAATTGGATTTCATTCACTGGGGAGGAACAAAACTGTCTGGGCAGCTTCATTCAGAGGTTCATTGACACCAAGAGCGAGCGACCGCAGCCGGGAGCAGAGGGAACCGCCGGCTTCACTTCTGTCTCGCTTTCCCCAACCGCTAACCCGGTCTGGGAAGGGCAAGGTGGAATTAAACCCCCGCTCGGAGAGCGGCAGCTTCGTGCGGCGCGCTCGCCCTATGCCTGCCCCGAGGGGCGTCTGGTAGGCACCCGCCCTCTCCGGTAGCGCGACCCCCATGATAGATACGCTCAGACCCGTGCCTTTCGCGTCGGAAATGGCGATCAGCAAGACCGTGGCGTGGCTCAACGAGCAGTTGGAGCTGGGCAACGAGCGGCTGCTGCTGATGGACTGCCGGCCGCAGGAGCTGTATGAGTCGTCGCACATCGAGTCGGCCATCAACGTGGCCATCCCGGGCATCATGCTGCGGCGCCTGCAAAAGGGCAACCTGCCCGTGCGCGCGCTCTTCACGCGTGGCGAGGACCGCGACCGCTTCACCCGGCGCTGCGGCACTGACACGGTAGTACTCTACGACGAGAATAGCAGCGACTGGAACGAGAACACTGGCGGCGAGTCGGTGCTTGGATTGCTGCTCAAGAAGCTCAAGGACGAGGGCTGCCGGGCGTTCTACCTGGAAGGTACGCACCGGGCGGGGGGGGGCCCCGCGCGCGGGGCCGGGCGGGGGTCGCGGCGCTGTGGGTGCGGGCGAGGCACGCGGACTGCAAGCGCCCCTGGTGCTTCCGAGTCGCGCTGCGGGGCCGGGGGCCCTCCGCCCGCTCCGGGCTGCGAACCTCGGGCGTCCCGCACCCGCGAGCAGGCTCGCGCAGAATCCACCAGCTTCCGGCCGCAGGCACGGGTGGTTTCTTTTTAACGAGGTCTCCTCCTGCCTCCCCGTGATATCCTCTGCCTATCCTTGCTTCCTATCGTTCGATTTTGAATTACGATTTGCAGGACAGCAGAGGTCATTGGGGGTGCAGATTGCATCCCCTAGCCACTCAAATTATTTTGATAAGTTGCCATTTTGTGCATTTCCGGATTTAAAAGATTAAGGGTTTCCAGGGAAGGCGGGCCTGTTCGTTCACTCCCAAGGGTACCCATTTAAGTGTCTTTCTCTTATAATTGGTTCTGGGTGTAGGGGGTTTCGTAGGGTGCTGTGGTGTTTCCTGCGCCAGGCTGCGGCTCTCACAAGCTGTGAAAACTACTACGGGATCTCAGGTTACACGATTGCTTTTCTCGTCCTGGCAGGTGGCTTCAGTAAGTTCCAAGCCGAGTTCGCCCTGCACTGCGAGACCAATCTAGATGGGTTGTGTAGCAGCAGCTCGCCACCGTTGCCAGTGCTGGGGCTCGGGGGCCTGCGGATCAGCTCGGACTCCTCCTCGGATATTGAGTCTGACCTTGACCGAGACCCCAATAGCGCAACGGACTCGGATGGCAGCCCGCTGTCCAACAGCCAGCCTTCCTTCCCCGTGGAGATCTTGCCCTTCCTCTATTTGGGCTGTGCCAAGGACTCCACTAACCTGGACGTGTTGGAGGAGTTCGGCATCAAGTACATCTTGAACGTCACCCCCAATTTGCCGAATCTCTTCGAGAACGCAGGAGAGTTTAAATACAAGCAGATCCCGATCTCGGATCACTGGAGTCAAAACCTGTCCCAGTTTTTCCCCGAGGCTATTTCTTTCATAGGTGAGACTAACATACAGTCCTTCCTCAGACTTTTAAACGCAAAATTCTTAGCCATTCCTAGAATGTAAGCTGTTAATCACTCTCGTTGCTTGCTAGCCTGCCGGAGTGCAGGTCTCTACTGTTACAAGGGGGTTCTTAATTCTGGTTTACCTTCTCACCAAGGAAGGAAAAAGTGCCTTTTGACATGGCTGCAGACCACAGGTGTATTTGAAACGGGGTTTCCTGTGTCTTTGAATTCAGTCATTTGAAAGCAGGCCCTACATGATCAGACAACAGAATTTTCTCAGTGTTTGGACTTGGGGGCAGCTAGCTGGAAGTACTCACTACTGACAGGAATTTTAGCGTTGCTTTATAATTTTTAAAAGATCTGGGAGTTTTTATAGGACATGGGGTTAGTTGTTGGAAAGCGCTCTGAATGCTAGATGTTGTAATCCAGTTGAATGTTACTGTGATACGGGTTAGCAGTGAGACAGTGCGGGTAACCTGAACCCAGCAGGAAGGACTGTGGGCTGGAAGCCTGGAGAAGCGAATCTCCAGGCATTGTAATGCATTTCCTATTACAAAGGAACTCATTTTCAGGCCATGTCGACATCCTGTTCCTCCTAATGGGCTGTCCCCTGTGACTTCCCTCTCTCTCTTAAAATGCCTGAATACCTCTATTGTTAGCTGCACAACAGTTGGAGAATAATTTAATAGACCCTTGCAGTCTGCTTGTCTGTATAAAAGGCATTCAGGACCATATTGCAGGGTTTCTGGGATTCACATGCTGAGGCAAAGAATGCACACATTAAAGATTTTTTTGTTGTTGTTGGCAGAAACTTAATACAAAAGCTCCCTTTTCAGAAAATATCTGAAATATGTAATTGTGCCCAGTGTGCATGTTTTATCGCAACGATACATTTGCGCTGCCTGCGGGGCTCCACTGCCACACACGATTCTTTTTTCTTTCCATCGTCCTCGTCTTTTTTTTTTTTTTTTTTTAAATTCAGTTTTTAGACTGATCATTCACAAAGAGTGGGTTTTGGTTCTACTGAAATTTTGCTTTTCCTTTTTGTGTTTACAGATGAAGCCCGGGGCAAAAACTGTGGTGTCTTGGTGCATTGCCTGGCTGGCATTAGCCGCTCGGTCACCGTCACTGTGGCTTATCTCATGCAGAAGCTCAATCTGTCAATGAACGATGCTTATGACATTGTCAAGATGAAGAAATCCAACATCTCCCCCAACTTCAACTTCATGGGCCAGCTGCTGGACTTCGAGAGGACGCTTGGACTCAGCAGCCCCTGTGACAACCGGGTCCCTGCGCAGCAGCTCTATTTCACGACACCCTCGAACCAGAATGTCTACCAGGTGGACTCCCTGCAGTCCACGTGAAAGGCCCCAGGCCCCTTGGTGGGATGGGTCTGTTCCTTTAGCCGCTTCTCCTGGCAGCGTCAGCTGGGCTGCTTTCTTTGTATGTGGCCCCAGCGGTCCAGTTGTCTGTATTAGACAAGGTTCCCACATGTGGAATTGGTCATTACAATGGGAGAGATTTGCTCCACTCTTGTTGGAAGAACAGAACATGCCGTGTAGATCCAGGCCATAGGTTTGCTCCATACCTTCGTGTACAGCCTACCCATGCAGGGACTGGAATTTGAGGGTTTCCAGGTAGATAGGGTAGGACCAAATGGTAGGGGTAGGAGCATGTGTTCTTTAGGGCCTTGTGTGACTGTTTCCTTTTGCATCTGGAACTGACTCTATATTGTCTTCAGTGAAGACTGATTCAATTTTGCATATAGAGGAGCCAAAGAGAGGTTTCAGCTCTGTATTTGTAGTATCAGTTTGCAAAAAATAAAAAATACAAAACAAAAATAAATAATAATAAAGTGAATCTGATACTCCATTTGATTATTGTAAATATTTGATCTTCAATCACTTCACAGTGTTTGTTTGAACTGTGTGTGTTTTTTCTTTGATGGGTTTAAAAGAAATCATCCAAAGGGAGAAAGAGCAGTATACCACTTAAAACAAAAAAATAGAAGTGTTTGCTCTTTCCTAATCCAAAGGATATATTTGCAGCATGCTCGCCTTCACCAACTCTGATATTTACATGGACGCTGTTATCACTGAGACCTTGGTATGGTGCAGCCTTTAATCTCTTTCATAATCTTCCTTGTGATTTTTTTTTTTCCCTCTTAATGTAGTTTGACTATGCCTTACCTTTGTAAATATTTTGGCTTGTGTTGTCTCAAAGGGGTATCTTGGAAAGACACCAAAATCATGGGCTCACTTTTTTTTTTAAACTTCAGCTGTGCTAAACAGTATATTACCTCTGTACAAAATTCTTCAGGGAGTATCACCTCAAATGCAATACTTTGGGTTGGTTTCTTTCCTTTTTAAAAAGAAATTTGTATAAAACTGGAAGTGTGTGTGTGAGCATGGGTCCCCGTCTGATGGGTGAAGTAAGTGCACATGATTGTGAAAAGGGAGAGTTCGGTTGCTCCATATGTTCGTGGTGTAAAGTTTTGAGCTGAAATTTATTATAAGAATGTAAAACCTTAAATTATTAATAAATAACTATTTTGGCTATTGAATGTGTATTTTTTTTTTTTTTTTTTACATCTCCTTCATCGTACCTACACGTGAAATGATACTTCTATGGAATCTTTGAGTGGGGGAGTGCCAGTGCCTTGTAAAGTCCTGTAGAAACAGTGGGGCAGAGTTCCCATGTTTTTAGCAACTCCAGGAATGTTCAGGTGGCTTTGGCTTCAAATAAAGATGACATCATAGAATGAACTGCCTGCATCATGTGTCCCAACAATCCTTTATGAGTTCAGTTACGGCTTCTTTAAGGAAAATAGAAATGCTCTTGAAGAAAAATGCCAAAGAGCACAGCTTGCTCAGGTATAAGGTTTGGCTGTTCATGACTGGTCATAAATGGGGGTACCTGAATAAGAAGACAGTGTTAACCTCTCTCCTTCCCTGCCAGGGTCTTCTACACAGTAATACACATGCCAAGGAGGACAGGGATAATTACCTTCCCAGTTTTTTTCCGTGGCAATGCTACCTTCAAATTATCCTGGTGTCAGAATACCAAATGAATCAGGAATGATGATACCACCCCCCCCCCCGCCACTTGCCTTTCTTATATACGTGGCAAGGCAGAGCCAAATTTCTCACAGCCTGGATGTGGGTTTTAAAATCTCACATTAGCACTTGAGATCACACTTTGCCAGTCCCGTTCTAATGTGCTTTGTGCTTCACTGGTTTAGCATGTGGGTAAGAAACCACTATCGAACCTTATGTCAAGGTTGTTTGGAACAGTTCCTTTCAAGATAAAGGCTTCATACCCTGTCATTTTTCTTGGGATATCCCCTCTCCTTGTCCCAAGTTTAAAAATACACACACCAAAATAAAAGGCAGGTGTATGAAATCAAAAGAACTAGAACATACCTACATTCCAGGCTCTTTTCAAATAACCTGAATCCCTTTACCTGCCCGGAGGAGAAAGAGGAGCTTTTCACCCACAGGGCTCAAGTTCAGATGCCAAAGGGATGGTTTAGGGATCTACGTTCTAGGAGGCAAATGGCTCTGATTTTAGAGCAATCCTATCAAACCGTCCAGAGTGACTTCGAGCAACTAAGCGTGCATAAAAAGCAAACAGAAACAGTGCAGAAAAAGACCAACTCAGTTTTTCTCGTTTGGGTGCCCCAAGTCAGTCAGAGCTCAGAAAGGAGAAGTGGGTTGCCATTCAACTTGGCTGCTGTTAATCCAGTTCTGAACGGTTTCCGCTCCTGGCATTCCCTAAACTGCCTGTTCAAAGTGGGGATTTGCAAGCAGCGCTTGCAATTTCCTGTCCAGCTGCAGCTCAAGTAGCTGCGTGCTTTCCTCCCCCACCCTCCCCTTCCTTTTCTCTGATTTCTTTTCTCTTTCCTTTTTTCTTTCTTTTTTTCTTTACTCCGGGCGGTGGGTAATTTTAGTGCGTTTCCTCTTTGCGGATTATCATCTCCTTTCCTCCTGGAACCTGCATACATCGGGTTCCTACTGCTGGGCTCCAGCCGACAGCTGGCCTTCCCAGCACTTCCTCTCGTTTCACTGTGGGTTTGTTGTTTGTCAGTCCACTTCTGAAATTAATAATGTTTTCTGGCCAAGTGCCACAAGCCATTACCACGAAGGGGAAGTAACACATATGAATAGCAGGAAGCCATGCAGGGTCACAGTGTGAGCTGAACCTGTGAGGGGAGCATAATTGAGCCTGGCCCATTCAGCAAGTGTCTGACAGCGATTTGGGGAGAAGGAGCTCCCCGCATTGAAGCGGCTCAAGCTGTGGAAAAAAAAAAAACTTTCCAATAAATTGGTGGCAAATGGTCTTTGTCATCAGTGTGAATGAAGGAGCGGGAGCAAGAAGAGTTTAGGGCCCCCATAAAGTTGCAGTGTTTGGGAATTCTCCCCAACCCCCCCACCCCCCGCACTCCCCCTTTCTGGCATATTGTTTCATAAGGCTGGTAACAGAGGGGTGCCTGCTTCCCTCTATGGCCACAAAAGGACTCATATTAAATGGGTGGTTTTTACGGTTCACTCGGGCCAGAAGATTCAAAGAGCTATTCTCTTGCTTTCTTTTTCTTCTCTGGAAGGTGGAAGGTTGTAACTGACAGCGTGGGCCCCCACCTCGCCCTGCGCCTGCCTTTCTCCTGGCCTTACCTCCAGCCCTCCGGCTCCTTTGTGCCTGCAGGGGGCTGGGGAAGGCAATCATTTTGCATCTTGGAGTTGGGCTCGCTTCCTGAATGGAGCCCGGCTGGTTACCAGGGCAACCTTCCCCAGCAGCTGCGGCTCCCCAGCCAGCCCCCCTCCTCACCTGCTGTCCCCGTTAGTGGCTTCCTTAGGTCTCTTCCTCAGGAGAAAGCCTTACTGCTCCTGGCCTTCTGCAGGGGTTGGGGCATGCCTTTCCAGAGAGGAGCTCATCTTCGGGGTTCCTTGGGGGCTCTAGGACACTTAGGGAATGCATGGGTTTACGGGATCAACTAGTCTTAAGGTTAAAAATCAGACAGAGAAAGGGTTATCTGGGGATAGAAAGATCAGCACAGCCTCTAAAGGAGTGAACTTTGGAGACTGGCCCCCAAGCCAACAATTAGGAGGCTTGAACTCTGACTCGTGCTTTCTTGCCCATGCACCGGATAGCCGTGGGCCAGTCTCCCGGCCTCACTGGTTTCTTCTTTCTTGTCTGTAAAATGAGAGCCTTCCCCTGTCATTCCAAGATTCTCTTATAATTCCAGCCTTCTGGTCATGGATTGGCGACACTGGTTTGATGACAAAATGAGGTAGAGAGCAGGAGGAACAGGTGACATCTATGGAAAGTATCGGATACTGAACTCTGTGCACAATATCAGCTCATTTCATGCTCAGAAGAGCCCTGTGGCGTGGTTCCTATTACCATCCTTAGGTTGCAGGGAGGAAACTGAGACAGAGAGAGACCAACAGCACCTGAAGTCATCTAATGGGAAGTGGTAGAACTGAGCTTGGACGCTTCTTCTCTTCTTGTTATAAATAGCAGTCTTTGCTCGTCTTTACAAGGTCTCTCGATGTCGACTAGGAAGTGGTGACCCTGTTTTATAACTGAGGAAGTGAAGGAAGCAGAGATTAAGTGACCTGCTAAATCAAACCCAAATTCGACATTAAAATCACGAGAGAGCCACAGAGCCCACACGGCTATGTCACCAGAGAGATGTGGCGTCCACCTGGAAGCTTCCATCTTCTCTCTCTGTGGAGGACTTGCTCTGTCTTGGGGCCCATGAGCACATAAATTACAAAACAGATTTTCCTAAGGCTCTCTAGCATGGCTACCCTGCTGTCCAACTGGCCCGGACCCCTGGCCCACCTACCCTTTCAGGATTACACAGTGAGCTGACACCAAAGAAATTCACTTCCTCACTCTGCTGGTTGGAAGGGGGGTGGCACACGCACGCTCTCTCTCTCTCTCACACACACACACACACAGGTGATGGAGAGGTTGAGTGAGAAAGAGAGAGAGAGGGAGGCAGGAGGAGACAGAGAGAGGGAGGGGGAGAGGGGGAGAGAGAGAAGGAGAGAGGGGAGAGAAAGAGGGAGAGTGGGCAGGAGGCAGAAGAGATGGGGAAGGAGGTAGCGAGAGAGGGAGAGAACATTCAGCAAGGTCTGCAGACGAGGAGAGGCAAATTAGAAATCAGTGGAGAAGTGAAACATAGCATGGGCACATTATTCGGTAGCTGGCTGTTAAGTATTCTCGAAAATTCATCTTAAAAAATCATTCTTTGGATTAAACTGCTTCAAAAGAATTACTTTGGGTATACATTTGTTGGCAGGTGCTCACACAGTAATAATCATTTCCCAGAAGATCCTGCAGACTTTCAAATACCCTTACTTCTCCTGTGTTCTTACCACAACTGGCCCTGAATCAATCTCGTTCTGGAGTTGGGATCCTCAAACTTCTTTAAAGTCCAGAACTGATTTCCTAAGAGTATTTAGGGGCACAGAACAAAGTTCAAACAATTCACAAATATTTATCCAGGCCTTGATCTGTGTTGTACTGATTCGATGAAACAAGGTTAAAATAAACGGCAATGAAGACTTACCAACCAAGCCCTTGAAGGCTGAAGGTAATCTCATTTTCTTTCTTTTTGGGGGCAGGGTGGGGGTGGTGGGGAGGGACAGAGGGAGAGGAAGAGAGAGATTGGCAAACAGATTCCATGCCCAGCGCGGAGCCGACACAGGGCTAGATCTCACAACCTTGGGATCGTGACCTGAGCCAAAACCAAGAGCTGGATGCTTAACTGACTGAGCGCCCCCCCACCCGCAGGTACCCCGGCAATGCCACACTTCTAAGCGTGATTGCTTAA